CACACCCACAGCTCCGTGTGGATGCAGGATGCAGAGGGCCATGGGCACCTGGTCCAGGTGATGCAGAAGCAACAGGCTGTGCCAGGCCAGCAGCCCTTCTCTAGTGTGTTGGTCCTTGGTGGATTTGGGAAGGATGGATCTGACTTCAAGTAGACTGTGGTGGGATGGGACAAGACTCTTGCAGAAGGGGCAAGGAATGAGCTGCATCCTTTAGGGATGATGGATGTGGGTATGGCTGCTCCTGTGCTGCTAGCTTGCATCTGGGCTTACCTTGCTGCCCCGGAGTGCAGCCTGGATCCAGGGATATCCAGATCCGATCATCCTTCACCCCAACACACCCTCCCAATACCAGGACACTTAGGGACCAGGACCACCAGGACACCAGGACCACTCACCCACATGCTCCAGCCTCACGGGGAAACTAAATTCCGTCGCAGGAGGCCAAGCTGAGCTCAGCAGCGGAGCAAGGGGCCGGCAAGGAGTCCTCTCTTTCCCAGGAGGCTCCGACACGAGCACCAGGGGCAGYGAGGATGCCGCGAGAGGCGCATTGATGCCTCGCACCCCTCCTAGAAGGTGCCCAGCCCTTCAGAGCCCAGCCCTGCTGCAGCCCTGCAGCCAAGGGAGYGAGCAGAGCCCTGTCTAAGAGGAGTAAATATTTGCCTGAGCTTTCTGCAGCAGTTAAGTGGGGACACTGGCGACCGGCGGCAGCTTGGAGGGCAGGGCTGAGTGGGTRCAGGTCGGAGCAGCCACGGGTTTTGCCCTGCTGGACACTGTGTCTGGGCTCGGCCTGGGAATGACATGTGGCAGCGCAAACACTGCAGCCCCGATGCCACCAGGCACAGCCCGGCACTGGGCAGGAGCCCCCGCACGGAGCCACCACGTGTCCCAGCGCGTTTGAAGGGACATAGGACCCCCCTTCACTGCTGCCTAGTGCAATAAAGCCAAGGGACAGCAGCAGAGGACAGAGGTGGCACTTGTATCACCCCATGGGAGGTGCATGCACCATAGGGATCAATGCCTCAAATGGAGGCTTTTTCCCTTCCTTGTATAAGCTAAAGAGCTTGAAAGGATTGAAAGACCCTGGGTTGGCCTCTGTGGGCCATGGCCCTCCAGATGGGCCCTCAGCACCCAGCTCTGCTCCAGCCCTGTGATGATGCTCAGAGCAGGAAGGCTGCACAGAGGCCCCAGAGCCGTMTCTGCCATCAGTGGCACCACACACTGGTGCCAGCCTCTAAGGGCCACATGGCAGCGTGCCCAGGTCAGGGCAGAGCACTGTGATTTAGCCTGAAGAAATTTAGGAGCAGGCAGGGTGGCCTGAAGCTGGTCCTGCCCGCGCATCTGCCAGCAGATAAGAGGCAGGGAATTAGCAGAGCGAACACAGAAGTGCCCAGCGCTGCCCTGAGAAATGGCTTTTCCTCAGAAATCRTCTCCCTCAGCAGAGGAGAGGAGCTATTGAAGCTGAAAGAATAGGAGAGTAATTGGGTGTAAGCAACATATTACACAGGGAAAGAAAACAAGCTGGAAATAACATCCAAGAGAGGTGCCACACACTCGCACAGGAGTCAAAAGGTAAAGAAACCTCCCCCTCCAGCAGGGCAGGGAACAGGGAGTTATGACACAGTGATGTGATAGTAGAACACAGGGACCTTCTCACCCTCCTATGCTCAGAAACACCCTGGTTTCCCAGCACCAAAACATGGATTTTTACATTTCGGAGCCAACAACATGAGGTCAGACGGGATTTCCATCACTCTGCGGAGAGCATCTCCAGCTGCCAGATCCCTGGGCCAGGGCCACAGTGCCCATGGGGCCCTCGGAGCCCCGCAGTGCCTTTGGGATGCCGGAGGTGCCGCCAGATCCCCCTCTGCTCAAGGGAATCCCTCTGGATCCCTGCCAGCCTCATCTCTGGTCATCCACATTGGGTGACACCTTAATGACAGGGCTGGTCCGAGCACAGCTGGTGACACACCGCCCGAGGTGCTTTCTCGGGGGCTGCAATCGCTCCCAAATCCGAGCAGGCAGAGAGCAACATCCCAAGCAGGAAAGCATCCGCTCTGGATGCGGCGTGCAAGGCAAACTGCCATGCTTGTCCAGCGGGATCTACCCCGGCTTTCCCTCTCCTCTCCATCCCTCAAGTGCCTCCAGGTTTCTGGCATCCCTGAGGAGCACACATGCACGCAGCCGCTCCTGGCACGGCCCCCAGGTGCTTCCCYGTCCTTTTCCTCTTGTCCTGCCAGGCAGTGCCAGCTTCACTGCAGGAATGGGCCCCTGGCCATGCCAGTGAAGCAACRTGGAGCACTCGTCTGCCAAAGGATGCAGCCCAGCAAACTCATTGCATGCCAGGGCTGCACGCCCTGAAGGGCAGCCCCGTGGGAGCAGAGTGAACTCTGCTCCTGCATCTTTGTCCCTGCTGTGGACAAAGCCCCGAGATGGGTGAACGAGGGGACGTCTGTGGGGACAGCACTGTTTAGAGCCTGTCTGGGTTTGAGTGCAAAGGCTGCTGGGCTCTAGCTGAAATGACTTTCTTAATCATCTGGTTCCTCGCAGTCTCCTTTTCTAGACAAGCACAACAAACACACGGCAAGTGCAGACAGAGCTTGGCTCACGGCTGAACTGTGGGACTGTCCCTCTCCCCAGGCCACCAGATCCTGCTGCTGGTGCTGACAAACCCCTCCTCCCGCTCACCCGGGGTCCAGCTCCGAGCCCCAGCTTTGCCAGGGAACCAGAACCACAGGACCTGCTCACACCGTGTCCCTTTTTCCTTCATCTTTTGCCTTGATCCGCTGCAGCAGCCCCCTGTAACTGGAGACAAAACGCCTGCTGCCACCTTACCTACAATCAGGTCTTTCTCAGGAAGGATTAGCAAGTGCCCAGGGAATGCACATCACTTCCCAGGAACTGCACATTGCATCCCATTTTGCTCCCACAGCATCTATTTCTTGCTCCCCAGCTGGAAGGTGGGAATCTCCTCGCTGTTCTCCTCTCCCTGTGCTTTTGTGCATCCATCATCCCTCCAAGCTGGCCCCACACAGCACAGGACAACACGAGGTTATTCCTCCCGGCGTCCCCATTCCTGG